GTTGGGTTGGGCTTCCTTAAACATTCGGTCTCTTGACGGTTAGCCCGCTCAATCTCTAGTTGTTGAACACCTCTGGAATTTGCCTTCTAGATGCTCAGCTCGGCATGCTTAGGGTCTCAAAACACAATTTTGCCCCTTTTTCTCCTCTTCCTTTCTTCTTTCTATTTCCATTTTTTTTCAGCACCACAATTGGCTATGCGCTAACAGTACCATGCGCTAACTTGAGTAGAAGCAGAAAAACATAGAAAAATTGAAGAAAAAAAATAGAAAATGACCAGTTGGACACTTGGACCAGAAGCAGGACAACCCAGTTCAGTCCCTTAAATCAAAACCCCGGAACAAGTACCCAATCCTAACCTGAGACCGGTTTTACAGACTCGGTCCAATCCCGAATAGTACCAGATCAAGTTCCGAACCGGGTCTATCCTATGAAGAAGGTGTCACATGGGAGGTCTTATGTCACGCCCTGGACCTACCCGGACACGTCAACAACCCGCCGTACAACACGAATACTCAACCATAGTCAACCACATCCATATTATACAAAGCGTCATGAATATCATATCATTCACACATAAGTAATCCTTAAACATACATAATAAACAATTCAATACGCAGCGGAATCATAGTTTGAAATCAAATGCCACACAAGGTAAACATGAGCACGCAGGTTCTAAAGTAAAATATCCATGAGCATGTTTATTAATGTTTTAAAACAGAGTGGAGGAAGCACGAACCAAGTCTTCTCTCCGGGGGAAACGCTCGAGCAACGAGCACAGGAAGCAAGCTCTAGCTTCAACCTGAAATGGTGGTGGGACGCCCCCGAAGGGGTCAGTACTCTATACGACTATAAAGTACTGGTGTGGCCGGCATCTAATAGATATACAACAAGTATTTCAAACACAAGACCCTCAAATAGGGTGATAATATAGTCTAGGCCGTAACCCCAAGTTACCCCTTTTCAAAATATGTACTTACTTTATATAAAGTCAAGTAGTCGGCCCGCAGGCCCATGTTTATCACAAAACATAACCCAAACCCCGTGAATACTAGTCATGACAATACATAGGGTCCAACCCTAATGCGTCCACGTTATATCTACCCAATGCACTTCTAGAGCTCGGGCTCAAGTGCATCTCCTTACATTGGCATAGATTTGACCCCAGGTTCCAAACCTTATATCACATCATCAATTTCCGACATCATGTTCACTCATGCAATTCTAGAGCTCGAGCTCAAGTGCATCTCCTTACATGGGCTGAACTTTAATCTTATGTCTACCCAATGCAATTCTAGAGCTCGGGCTGAAGTGCATCTCCTTACATTGGCATAGACCCCAATTCCTAAGCACTCACTATGCCTAGAATTGACATACATAAAACTATCTTGGGACATCCTATGGACTGCCCCCAACTTAACCTTAGTTCACACTAAGACACAAATGACACTTGAAGTCCATCAAGTTCATCACAATACTAAGCAAACCCTAGGTTTGATTCTATCAACAATTCAAACAATCCTTAACTAGTACCTCATTACTATTAAGATTATTCTTACAAAACATTTATTCACATATGGGAGCCCCTACATATTAAAAATATGTGGCAGCAACTTAAGTATTCAATCTCAATACATAAATATTCATTTATGTATCCACATAATTGATGCATGTGTAAAATGCCTATTTCACTAAATAGTTCATTTATAACTCATTTAATCTCATATCATTTATACAACCTCAATTCATTTCCAATTTCATTCTTTGGCAACTATATCAATATTTCATCAATATTTAATCAGCATAATCCATGAAAAATTATGATTTAGGCATTTAGGTAATCTCATGTTTAACCTACAAGTTGTAAGCAATTAGATGTGATCCTCACCTCAAATGAGCTTTAAAACTTTCCTTCTCGATCCAATGACCAAAGCCTCGGCCAAGGAAGTTTGAGAACTGATTCCTTGCTTAGAAATGAGTGTTAAACAGACTCCTCAAGGTGCTAGTTCAACCCCTAATCGTTGATACGATAACAGCCCCTAGAATAGGTGTTTTCCGGCGAACTCGTTTCTTAGTTTTTCCATGATTTGCTCTAGGTTAGTATCTAACCTTTACATCAATAAAATAACCTTATAAGGACATATTATACACTTGGATTAGTGTATAATAGTCCCACCAATCGTTCATATCATTTGGAAAATGAAAGGAAAGGTTTTTGGGGTTGAAACTCACTTTAGAAGAGTAGATCCATTTCTGCGAGGTTGTGTTTTGATCGGACGATTTGGAAGTCTTCCACTCTTCCGATTGATGCAAACCAGACCTTCACGGATTCCTCGTCTTGAGATATTTCGTTTGGTATCTCACACGCCTTATTTAGTTGAGTATTTCCCGAGATATGAAGCAAACAAGTAACCTTACGCACTGGAAAAACTACCATGTGGACAACTTGCTCTCTCCTTTGCTTTCTTGATTAGGTGGCTCTCTCCTTCTCTCTTACCTTGAGGAGTTCGAATGGGGGTTGAGGAGGTGACTAATATCTCTCAAAAAGATGATAAAGCATGTGGCTTACAAGAGAGCATGGGAAGATATTTGGTTTGTAAACAAATATGGGGTGGACCTCCCCTTTTTGTTTTCTCTTGAAGTTTTTTTTGAGTATATGAGCCAAAAGTCCGCCCCATGTAGTCATCTCACCTCATTTCCTTTGTCTTGCAGGAACTCAAGTCATGTGGAATGGTTCTCACTTGATCCCAATCAATTTGGGGTCCAAAATATCTACCAATACTTCCAAAAATGGGAAGATGGGTCCTATTGTTTTATCCTTTGCTAAAAGATGTCTCTTTGTACTCATTCTATTTTATTTAGAACAAGTCAACTTCCTACATCATATTATTGATCTCCAATATGTGTAGGCTCTATCCCAATAATTTATGTGATGAAAATTATAGAAGAAACCTATTCCCATTATTTGGCTCAATAATGTCAAGTATGGAACCATAGGTGTTTGTATTCTTCCGTAATCATCTTAACACTTATTTATGACATTATTATTCACATGGTTGGGCTACAAGCCGTGTGGGTCACCCTCGAGTGGGCCTAGGACGCCATTCATGAATACTTACTATTTTTAGCAGGTTGGGCCCAAAATAACGTTTGAGCTGCCCGACCTTCCTCAACTTGTCTTGAAAGGTTATGTATCATTATTTAGATAATGTTGGACTCTTATATTTATGAATAAGGCCCAAATAAGTATTTGCAAGCCCGACACTAACATACGAGTTCGAACAGTACAATAATCAGTCGTGCATTACGTAAAACATTAATCGTTTTATAATTGTTTGGAAATCGGAAATTCAATACATAGACTTTGAATTTTTAAATTGAATTTTCAAGGACGTTCGGGTGCGGTGTCACATGTTAAGCTCAATTCCAAGCAGAGATCTTTAGTGAAACCTCATTCACTCCTCCAAATAATTGTTCAATCTGTTCTAGGGATTGAGATGGGGTGTCTTCTTTTTATTATAATCTTTTTATTATAAAGACGAGTATTAATTACTAAACACCTATGTAGCACCTATACGGGTACGCGGAAACGCGCAAATGGGTACGGGGATACGACAAAAAAAAGTAGGATATGGATACGGAGCCATATTTATAAATATTAAAAGTTATGGGGTGTATTTATAAATATTTAAAGTTATAGGGGTGTATTTATAAATATTAAAAATACAATTTTTTGAAAAGAAATGCACATATTATCCTCTGACGTCTACCCATTCATGGCATTCAAGCATTTCACATTTTCAAGATACTTAGAAATAAATTCATATTTTATCTCATACGAAGTATACACTAGTTTCTAGTGCACTCCGAAATATAAATATAGTCAATAAGTCATTGATTTAAAATGAGAAATAAATCAAACAACTACATTTTTTAAATTAAAAGTGCAAGTACTCAAAGTTCTAGAATAATTAACATATAAAACAATATTTTAAAAGTTCTAATGCATATTTCCGTTGGAGCTATTAATTTCTAGGGATAATTAGAATTAAGGATATGAGGATGAGTGAATTAGGAATAGGCCCATTAGTTGTGTACCACATAAAAGCAAGGTAAAAATTATTTTTAGTTTTTCTTTTTTTAAGAATTTTATTATGTAAATTTTGAGTGTTTAAAAAAAATGGATGATTTTTTTTAAAAAAAAGTTGATATGTGTATCCGTCAAGTATCCGAAATTTTAAAATAATTACAAAAAATGGAAACTTTTAAAAATTACAGATACGGCCCGAGAAGGCGAGAACGTACGGTACAGGTATCCTAGAGTATCGGATACGGGAACGTTTTCCATACGCCGATACAGCACCCTAGGGAAGTATCGGTGCTTCATAGCTAAACACTTTTGCTCGTTTAATAATCATTTGGTTGGATTAGGAATATAGTCTGCTTTTGGTACCTTTGTTTTGTGTTGAAACTGTTCTATTCCAGCATGAAATGTACTCACTCCATCACTTCAAAGCACAATCGTTTTTTACTCTCTTAGTCAGTGATATTAAACTTTGAGCAATAATATATTTGTGTATGAAATTATTTATAACATGAAAATGGTTTTATTAAAAAATCTCATAAAATTATACACATATCTTTTTACACAAATGTACGATTAATCAAAGTAGCTTAAAGAGTAAGAAGAGCGAGTATTATACAGAGGGTTGGTTTGCAACTCTTTTTAAAAAAGCACTTCTCAGTTTTTGACTTTAAAAAAACACTTATTTTCCCAAACACTACAACTTTTATTTTTCTCGGCTTCCACGTCAAAAGTGCTTTTACTTTTTATATTACACAAAAAGCACTAATTTTACCAAACACTACCCACTTTTACTTTTCAAAATCACTTTTTTCTCAAACACTATCAACTTTTATTTAATCACTTCTCCCCATTTCATTAAAAAAAGCACTTTTTTAAAAGCAGAAGCTGTTGCAAACAGACCCAGAATATAATGGAGTGAAATTTAAAAAGTGACTTTCAGTTAAGGAAACATCAGCCGAGTATTCTAAGACCACATTGGACTGTAGTGTTGATATCAAAACCAAACATAATACGGAGTAGAAAACTGTACAAAAGAGTACAGGAAATTGTATGAAGTCCATAATATTGAACAGGTAAGTCACTGGCACAAAACCACCAGTGAATAGAAAGATCATTTAGTACAGAGATACTAATTGCATAAACATTTTCTCCCCAACTCATTTTCTCGCTCCAAAAAAACATCACCAGCAAAACACCACTCTCTCCCAGGCTTCCACTACAACCCCAATGTAGTAAACCAATCAGGCAATCATGCCTTGAGAGCAAGAGCCAACCCAAATTTGGCACTCTTCACAGTTGCCCTAGTGTCTACCTCACCCGAGATGGTAAAAAGTGACTTTGGACTCCATGCGTGTTGGATAAGAGCATATACCTTGCCATTGTTGTTAACCTTGGCTTTAACCATGGTCAATGGATCCAATGCATGTTGGGTCCCAATGGTTACAGATTTCTCGTTGCTTGAGAAAGTGTGAACCAACTCTGCACCAATGTTTGTGTTTGTTAATGGCCATACAGTGTGGTAATATGTAGCAGTAAGTGTGTTGCCCTTGTCATTCCTACATTCCATAAAAAGATCAGTATTCCATGAGAGTTTTATTTTATGGCCCATTGGAACCCAGTAAATATCAAAGAATATATGAAGGAAAGTAAAGGTGAACTTTTAAGGAAAGAAAAATTAGAGAAAATATTGAGATATGACCAAAACATAATAAATTTATTTAAGTAGGACACCCCCCTCTGAATAGGACTTGTTCACTCCTTGAAGACATTTATTTAAATAGGACACCACCCAACAAATAGGATTTGTTCACTCCTTGAAAAGTATTAACTGGTTTACATTTCTTTCAAGTCCTTATGAGTCTTAAATTCAGGATAAAACAAAGATACTCCTATTTGACAAGTGACCTGTGCATTTTGGGGGTTAAAAAAAATTGTTCCGACTTTGAAGATACAGTTTGAGGTCGGGGGTAATTGAAATTCTGGTAGTCTTAATATCATCAAATTCGGTTTTTGATAAAAAAAAATGTGAAATTTTGGACCCAGATTCATTAATTGCAGTTGGGGTTTCCCATGCATATTCCAGCATTGTTCACATGTATGTCCTTGCATGTTAGTGTGTTACAAAATCGCAAAAGCATGGTAAGCCTTTGCTATGGCCTCCTAATATAGTGCGTCTACCACTGCCTAGACCAGCACAAGATTAAGGTGAAAGAGCCGAGCTATTGAGAATTTGAGATATGCTTCTTCTTCCATGGATGATCCTTGTAGTAGTTTAAAAACTTCCACATCACTTGGTACATATTTTCACTTAAGAAATGAGCAGATAAAGGCATAAGCTTTTCGCCATCGCAGAAAGACTTAAGCCTCAGGGCGATATTTCTCCATTCTGGTTCTGTGAGGTGCATCTAGACGCTAGACCGCTTTTTTAAACCATGAGTCCAAGAGAATTATTATAACAGGAATATGTCAAAGCACCACACCTGATACTCACCATGTTAAAGAAGTTGTCAAGTCGGGGGTAGAGATACTCAATCCAGCATTGATTTTGTCATAAGTCCCACTGGCAGTGTCAAATGACAGATCAGTCCCAACAGCAAGGGTATTGGTCCCAACAACACCAGAGAAAGTGATAAATGGATTTCCAGTTAGCCCAATGCTTGTAGTGATTCCAGCATACTCAGACCAGTACTGTGATTCCACCTGTTAGCAAGAATAATATACTAATGAGTCTTAATTGGACCATCAGAACTATAAATGCAACATCATCATAAGCCTTTGTTTGACTATAAGAAGAAACAGAGGAGATAAAAGAGTGAGAAAGAGAGAACTACAGAAGAAGATGAAATGAGGTAGATTTTTTATGTTGTTTGGTAGCAGTGAAATAATAATTAATGCTTAGAAAGTAGGACAAGCTATTTTTATCCATAAGAAAAAAAAGGTTGAGGAGGTGGGAGCTGACATTTTCATTTCTCTCAGTTTTCATTTCTTCTGTTTCACCCTAACCAAACAAAAGCTAAAATAACTTTGAAGTTCTCCAACAAATGGGCAAGACTTACCTTGGGTGATTTCCAGTCAGGAGCAATGAAACTAAAGATGGTCTTCCGCTCTGGTGGTTCATCAATATTAATAGTCACATACAGCTGCATTTAACAATCCAACGGTGCATGTCAGTTGCAATTTTACCAACAATGCAACAAATAAACATATTCTTGAAAGTGGAAAGCAGCAGGGGAGGGTCCAATGCCTAATTAAAAAAATATTACTGTCCATAGGAAACCTGGAAAAAGGCAGGGAACGAAATTCAGAAGAAAAAGTATGGTAAAATAAAAAGGGACAGAAAACTTCAGGGAGAATTTAAAAAAACATGGTTCTCACTCAGTAAATCAATTTTAAATATTTGATCAAAGTCATTTTTATTATATTTCGCTATTATATACAAACAATGGAAACTAACCACACGTAAAATAAAATAAAAAACTCATGAATTTTAGTTCTTTTCGTTGCCAAACATAAAGCGACATTTCCTAAGCATTTCTTCCATTTATCTACCACTCATGGATCCCAAACATGGCATTACAGAATAAAAGAAGTAGATTATGAGTATTTAGATTCATAAACGAAGCTCACATTTTCAATTGATTCTTACCTTGGAATTGGTGTCCACTTTGGTATCCATTGTGAAATTTTCATCCTTCCGCTGGATGTTGACGCCGGCGATAAGTGCCTCACCTTTCTTAGCACCAGATGATGTAATGGCCTGAAAAGTAAAAACATAAAAGCAGTTAAGATGTAAGAACTGTACCGTAAAATTGACATTTAAGAAGCAAAGCTTTGTAAAACCATTTATAAATGAAAATATTATAGATACTATCATACGATGTATTTACTAACTGTATACTCGATCAAACCGTATCTGACTATCATGCATTGCTGTGTGATGGAAATTTAAGCAAAAAAAAGATCGTGACATGCAAAAAAACCACAACTCACAACACCTGAGAGTTGAGATGAAACTAGTGCGGGTGCATAAACAACTACAGAATAACCATTCGGATTAAGGGTACGTTTGGTTACAGAGGAGACTGGACGGGAAGGGAGAAATATGTAGTATTGTAGTTAAATGAAGCCTTCCCTCCAAATTCCAAAACCTCATAAATTGGAAGGATAGTAAATGAAGGGGAGGGGAGGGACAACGTTTACACTTTACCCCAGCAACTAATGGCAGTAGCTCCATAAAATGATCTCTAATCCCTCAATGTTAACCAGCCTACTCCAGCCTTCAGCCACCAACCCCATTGGAGAGCACTCATACAGCTACATTATTATTTACATATTTGACTCCTTAATAAGGTAAATCACAACTTCGCAACATGTCATCATCGTTTAGCAGAACATCCCAACTTCACAATAATATGCGATACTGACCACACTAAAAACGCATCAAGACGCACAGCTAGAGATACTAACCACGCCGTCGGAGGTGTGCGTAGTGACAGAAAACTTGTGGTCAGCGACGTAGTCTCTGTAGAGAAGATCTGAACGGAAATCGAAAATTCAATTTCGATTTGAGTCCGTACACCGATACGAACATGTAATACACGATATTATGCGCAAATGATGAAAATGAGAAACATACAAAAACAATAAACATTAAGTGATAATAATCATCACCAGAGAAACTGACCTCTGGCTTTTTTCCCGATGTCGGAATACAGACCAGGGCCCTTCACCATCTCCGCTTCTGACAATTGCACCGGAGCTGTAGAGAGACAATGACGACAATTAAGCGCGAACTTTCAACTGAAAGGGCTTAAATAGGGAGGGCTTTGGACCCCAAGCCCATTATATTTGGTCTAGTCCGGCTTTCGATAGCTTGGGTTCGGTCAGATTTAGGTTGGGCCGATTAAAGCACAAACATGAAATGTCTTTTTATAATTTAAAACCTAATTTCAAATTGCTAAAATTAATTAAAAATTCAAATTGCAAATAATAACACAACTATTAGTCTCAAAAATCACCAACAATTCAACAAAGAAGAAAATTATTTTAATATTTTGTTTAAATTGCATATAAATAAATTATATATGTTTTCTATTAATATTACTAAATAAAATTTATGGATAGAAATGTGACAAAAGTCATTATAAATATATTTTCATGGTCATTACAATACACGAATTGAAAATATTTATAGTTACTAAAAGTTATCAAGTTTATTTTTCATGCACCATGATTATAACATTATATTAGGAATTATTTATAAATTGTATTAGTATATTGTATTACTTTTATACTAAAGCTAATTGTTTCGAAGTTTTATTGGTCTGGGCATGCTTTTAAATGTTAAGGTCCGTTTATGAGCCTCAGTAAAAAAAAGGTCCGTTTATGAGCCTGTTTTTCGGGTTTGGTCCAAAAAAAAATTATTCGAAGTAAAAATCCATATTGGGAACATCTTTCGGGTGAGGGTCAGGTTGATTTTCGTGTTTCAGTTCTGTTTTTTCCAATCCTACCTGTGGTGACTAGTGAGGAAATTTTGGGACCCGTAGGTGAGGTCAACCCATATCAGGCGAGTAAAATGGTCAACATCTACCTAAATATGGAGTATAAAAATATGTAAATCCCCCAAATGAGACTAAATATAAATTGCAAATATAAATCTTACGCAAATTATACGGTATGACCAGCATACCATGCGCATGGTATGTCTGGTCATAATACAACATAGTTTTATTAATTAAAAAGGGGACTGCTTGTTCCGTATAGTTCACTGGCGCCGCCGACTTTGTTATTACGCAGCGACGCAAGAAGCAAGACAAGCCGACAAAAGGATTCAGCTATTATTCCATTAATCCAGTGAATAGGGGTGGGATCGGTCCGGTCTGGGTCGGGTTTTTGCTAAACCCGGAAATTACCCGGAATGTCTCGGGTTATGAAAATTAGGGACCGGAACAAAACCTATTATATTCGGTCCGAGTCGGGTTTTTTGTAGCCCGGGTTCGGTCCGGGTTCGGGTTGGACCGGTTAAAGCCCGGACGTGAAATATGTCATTGTTCTTTTATATTTTAACAGTTATTTTCAAATAAAGTTAATCAAAAATACAAACCGCAAATAATAACACAAATATTAGTCTCCAAAATCACCAACAATTCAAATTTAAAGAAGATAATTATCTTAATATTTTATGTAAGATGTATATATATAAATAATATAGGTTTTATAAAAATATTACGAAATAAAATTTATAAATCAAAAAGTTACTAGAGTTGCTATAAATATATTCTCATGGTCATCATTACGCTAAACAAATTCAACATATTTGTAGTCACTAAAAGTTACTAAATCTTTTTTTATCCACCGTGATTATATCATATATTAGGAAATATTTTATTTATATTCATATCCTATATTAATTTTATATTAAAACTAATTGTTTTGGGTTTTTTCGGTCCGGGCCGGGTTATAGATTTTAAGGCCCGTTAATGAGCCCGGAATTTTTGGTTCGGTCCGGTTTTTTTTAATTCGGGTCGGTTAAAAAGAAAAAACCCGGACCGGAATCATAATTCGGGTCGGTCCAGGGTCGGTTTCCGGGTTTCGGTTCGGTTTTTCCCACCCCTACCAGTGAATGAGAAAGCAACAGTGCTTCTTGTTGCAGATCGTTAAGCAGCTGGTGCCCATGATTAGCAACGATGCTCCTTGTTGCTGAACGTGAGAAGGAAGCATATTGTTAACTAGTTAGTGCCCATGATTATCTTTAATTCTCCACCGATGGCTTGTCTTCTTTACTGGCAGAAGTGATCTTTGCTTTTATTTACCTTACATGAATGATCAGACAATTTATATGTATGTATATATATGTGTCTGTTTAATTTGAAGTTCCACCTTTTTATAAGCGAGTTACATCTTATGAAGCGTGAGTTACATATTTTGAAGCGCGAGTTACATCTTCTGAAGAGCGAGTTACATGTGAATTTTCCTCATCAAGTTACATCTTGTTTATACATGATTTACACTTTCCATAATGTGAGTTACACTACGATGAGTTACATTTGAATACACTATTTACATTTAACAATAGCGCCAGTTGCATATCAAAACAAAGGATTTACATCACGAAAAAAAATTGAGACAAATGCAAGGGTACTGTTCATGCGAATTTTATCCCTGGGAGTACGGTGCTCACCATGCACCGGTTGCACGGTATACGGACTGTGAATCTTATGTTGTAATGCTTTAAATATGAGTGATTAATTAGTGTGAAGTTTGAATAATATATCATGTTTAAAGCCTAATAATGTCAACAAATTACAATAATTACTTTGTTTTAAGAGATAAAAATGAGTTGTTGCGGTTCACAAAAAATTTTACTCCCATTTAGGATAATTTCTACATAAAATACACATAGGTTAGCTGTATTAATTTTCACATAGGTTGGCTGTATTAATTTTTGTTTAGCTGCGCAATACTCTCTCCGTATTTTAATGTTCACTACATTTGGTTTGGCACTTTATTTAAAAAGTATAGTAGTAGGGGTAGTAAATTGTGTAGAAAAAGTAGGAGAGAGTGTGTGAAATTATGAAAACGAAGATAAAAAGTAGAAAAAGTAAAGGTAATTGACTATTTTATAAAGGAAAACTTACCAAAAGTGGAAGTGTAGCAAACTTTTAAATACATCTCAAAAAGAAAAGTGTAGCAAACATTAAAATACGGAGGGAGTATCTTTTATTTATAAATCTTATATTTTTTTTACTATGGGTCACCTGGAAACAGTCTCCTGTGCTTTAGTACAGGGGTAAGGTTGCGTACATCCGACCCCCCCTTACCCTACCGTAGGTGGGAGCCTTTGCGGCACTGGGATAAATGAAAATGATGGAATCTTATATTTTTACAAAAAAAATCTAATAAAGAACATTTTTATATTTTAAATAACTTTACACTAAAAATATTATTGGTCAAACTTGACGCTAAGATAACTCAATATGGTCAATCTTTTTAAGACGGAAGTAGTATTTTCTTTGTCCAACAATAGTTCACTCATGCTCCTTCATTGAGTGAATAAGTGATTTTTAGTCTGATTTCAGTTGCTATCTGCATTTTTGTGCCGTCTATAAACTTAAATATGGACTCCATTTTATAGACTATGTTAATGCCACTTTTCCTTGCATTTCAGCACCGTCAATAAAATACACTCAACATATTTTTACATATCAATATATTAAAACACATTTTGATGTAAAAATAAATAAATTTCATTAATTTATTTAATGCTTTTCAGTTAACACAAAATGAACTTAGTTCAAGTAAAGTTTGATTATGAAATATTCAATTATTTGTGAAGCTCCATGAGTTAAAAATTTGTGTTTTGTGTTTTTTAGACTTGAGACTTCAACAATTAAAACTTCAGATTTTTTTCATTTTATATAATCCCTCCGTCCCTTAAAAGTTTGACATGTTTGACTGGCACGTAGCATAATAAAGTAAAAACTGTGTAATAGAGTTTTGTGCAGAGGAGAGAAAAATAGCAGGAGCCACAAATTGATTGATTAAATGGAAAGTTGCAAAGTTTTTGGGACAACCAGAAAAGGAAAGTTGGCAAAGTTATACGGGACGGAGGGAATATTTAATATTGATGTCATACGAAAGATAATAAAAATTCATGATTTTTGATATATTTTTTGAAAAATTAGAAATATAGATAAAAAAAGTTATAAAACTTTTAAAGGATATGATGTTCAATGACGCATGAATGACTTCATATTTACATAGTTACATGCTGCAGCTCTTCTTTTTCTTTTTCTTTTTCTTTTATTTTCCTCTTTTTTTAACATTAAAAAATTAATGATTTAAAATTTTAAAAATTTCTAAATTTAAAGATTTAAAAATATAAAATTTAAAAATTTAAAAATTTAAACATTTAAAAATTTAAAAATTTAAAATTTTAAAAATGTAAAAGTTTAAAAATTTAAAAATATAAAATTTTAAAAATTAAAATTCACATTTAAATAATTTAATATTATATTTTTACTTAAGAACTTATGTAGTAATGTTTTAAGAAATAATTCCATAAATAATACTTTTAAAATGTGATGGACAAAAATATTACTTAGTAACTATTATTGACTACAATTGTGTTCAAAATTTTCATCGTAGTAACTAAATGTAAGTTACTATGATGTAAACTTTGAACACAATTATAGTCACTAATATTTACTATGTCACATTTTTGTCCATAATATTTCATTAGTAATATTTAAGGGAAAACCTAACATCTAAATTCATTATATTGATCTAACTTTGCAAAACAAGTAATCAAATAAGGATAAATTATCTCTAAGAAATTCTATAATATTTGGGTAATATTAGGAGAGGCCGGTTCAGCTTGATGTTGTTAATATTTGCCCTTTTTGTAAGGGTGGTACTGAAACGGTATCACACCTATTTTTGGGTTGCTCCTTTTCAGGAAATGTTTGGAACAGGGTCAAAGGCTGGTTGGAGATCCCTAGAGAGATGAGGATTTCGCACATCTCGCTGAAATGGATCAAAAGGTAAAGGCAAGGAGCTGGAATCAAAGCAAAGGCAACCAAGATTGCTTTTTGTTACTCTATTAATTGGATTTGGAGAACCCGTAATGCCACTGTTTTTGACGTCCTTATCCCTAGGGAGGATGATGTGTTTGCTAGGATACAAGATCTTGTATAATTTGTATCCGCATAACCTTGTAGGTTTTTTATTGGTCTTGTGCTCGGCCTCCACCTTCTTTTTGTGTTTGGCCGTGCTGTTTTGCTGCTGCCTTTTGAGGGATGAGTTATCCTTTGTAGGATAACCTTCATTTTTGTTTCTCATTGTATGGACATTCTGAATATTTGTTTTCTTGGATGTTTTCTATAATATACTTACATTTCATCCAAAAAAAAAAGAGGCAGGTCAGCGTCACAAACCCTTATTAATAAATTCATTGTACCAACACAAATGTTTATCAAAACTCTTCCCTCTCCTTTATTGGAACATAAATATTATTCATATGTACATTTTATTATTAATATGTACATACTGACATGTAGAGACGTGTGTGCATGTATATCTCATAGCTGCTCCTTTATTTGTGCATATGGATAGGTGTTATCATTATCATAGTTAGTATGAGGTGTAAATATTATCCTCACGTAGACTAGCCTATTTATACTTCTTGATGTAATTGTTAGTCATTCATTCAATTGAATATATATCATCTCTTCATGGTATCAAGAGCCTAATCTCTAAAGAGCTTTACATAATTTTTTTTCTTTTCTCCTTCATCCTCACGATGACTATCACCGAGTCTACCTCTGTTATTTCCATTACTGCCGCTACACACTTTCTGATTAAGCTTACGACATCCAATTTTCCGGTGTGGAAATGTCAAGTCTATAATGCCTTAGTCGGCCTTGGTCTTGATTCCTACATCAATGGTACTCTTCCTTCACCAAATCAATTCAATGATTCTGCCAAAACACAACCAAATCCATGTTATATGATATGGTACCGGCAGGATAAAACAATCATTAGTGTGCTCCTTGGAAGTTGCTCTAAGACGATTCAGCCACTACTCTCGTCTGCCGCCACCGCGCGTCAAGCGTGGGAGAAACTCACTCTCACCTATGCAAGTACATCCCAAGGCCGGATTATTTCTCTCAAAACTACGCTTGCTCGTACTATGCGTGGTGCTCGTTCAATCACTGAATATCTCACTAAGATGTTTGCCCTATCCGAATCACTAACACTTGCCCAAAGTCCACAGTCAGAGGAAGATTTGGTGATCAATATCCTTAGAGGTCTTGGTCCTGAATACAATGACATCACATTTGCCATTCGGGTCCGTGAAACAGTTCTTCCGCTCACTGCCTTGCAGGATATTCTTCTTGAACAAGAAATCAAGCTTCGTGATCAAGCTACTGTCACCACGGAACTCCTACCCACTGCACATGTCACTCATGTTCCTGAACGTGTGCAGGCTTCTAGAGAACGACGTTCGTATTCTGGCAATGAACGCAGGTCTCAACAACCTCGTCGGGGTCGAGGTGGATTTTATGGCACACCACGTCCGTCTACTAACCCTATTATTTGCAGGTTTTGTGACCATATGGGACACGATGTCAAAAATTGTCGTAAATTGCAACGTTTCTTACGTGACAATCACGTTTCGTATGCACCTCCTGCTGTGAATCACACCACCGGATCTGCCTCGCCTGGACAACCTTGGTTATTTGATAGTGGTGCATCTCACCATGTTGCATCCGATGCGTCTACGCTGCCGTCAAATACGGACTATGGCGGTCCCGATGAGGTTCACCTTGGTAACGGTAAGGCCCTTCCCATTACTCATATCGGCTCTAATATACTGCCTGCCCAATCCCGATCTCTCTCATTATCCAACATTTTGTATTCCATGTCTTCACAAAAATCTTGTGTCAGTTGCTAAACTCTGCAAAACTAACCATGTTTCTGTGGAATTTTGTTCTTTCTTTTTCCTTGTCAAGGATCGAGTCACGGGGGCGCCACTAATGCGGGGGACGAACATTAATGACGTCTACTATGCACCATCTCCGATCGAGTCAGTCTCTCATTTCCGGCCGCAAATGCATGTCACCCATTTCTCAGCATATACTGACTGGCATCACATTTTCGGCCATCCATCACGTTGCATTTTGAGTATTTTAGTTAATCAAAACAAACAATTGTCATCTTGTAATTACTCGCAAGAGTTTCATTGTCCTTCATGTTCTATTAATAAAAGCACAAAGTTGCCTTTCTTTACCAATATTATGTATGCTATTAGGCCCCTTGAATTATTATATTCTGATGTATGGATTACAACAAATAAATCTCTTGATGGTCATCAATATAATGTCATTTTTGTTGACTACTTCACCAGATATATATATATATATGGCTTTTCCCCCTCAAACATAAATCCGATGTGTTTCTAATATTCCCTCAATTTCACCGTTTGGTTGAGAAGCGTTTTAAGCTCACTATTACATCCATATTCTCGGATAATGGTGGAGAATACATCAAATTACGCTCATATCTTAATCAACACGGTATATCTCATTTTACCACCCCACCTCATACCCCGGAGCATAGTGGTATTGCCGAATGCCGTCATCGTCACATTGTTGACACCGGCCTCGCATTACTTCACTACTCCGGGCTTCCGATACATCATTGGTCGTATGTGATAGGCTCGTTCCGTTCCTATCTTTTCACCTATACTTTGTGTGTTAATTGTCTAATTTTTACAATTAATCGGGTGACTATTGGGGGATTTGAGTGAAAATTTGCTATTTTTCGGTCCCGGTGGCATTCCTATTCAGTGTAGTATTTTTGTACACAATTTGACATTTTTGGAGTAATTTGATTGTAAAGTTACATATTATTAGCGGGCGTGGTGAGTTGTTATTGTACAGGCCGAGTTTGCGGTGAATATGTTTGGACCGGATCATTTAAGGACTGTTTTTGAAGTTAAGTGCAATCCAAAATGAAAAAAAGGACAACGGCAGTTTGTTTAATTGATAGCAGCCCAAAAAGATACTCCCTCCGTTCTTTATTATTAGTCCTTCTTTCCTTTTTGAGACGTTTTTTTTATCTGTCCTCCTTTCCATTTAAGGAACGTTTTTACTTTAAATATACCTTTATACCCTCACTTTTATTACCATTACCCCTTTCTCTTTCCTACTTTTTCATTTACTCACTACTCATTACACCTTTTTACACTACCCCTACTACTTTACTCTTAAAATCCGTGTCAAAGCCTAAGGAGACTAATAAAAAAGAACGGAGGGAGTAGTAAAAAGAGCTGACTTTTTTTTCAGCACTTAGGGAGTGTTTGCAATTGCTTCAACTTTAAAGAAGTGATTTTTTAAAGTGATTTTGAGAAAAGTGATTAATAGTAAAAGTTGGTAGTGTTTGAGAAAAAAGTGATTCTGAAAAAGTAAAAGGTTGTAGTGTTTGGTAAAATAAGTACTTTTTGTGTAATAGAAAAAGTGAGAAGCAGTTTAAAGCACCCTTCTACATGCTTCCAGCTTTTAGCTTTTAAGTGATTAATTTAAGCAGAAGCTGTCATTTGAAAAACTCTTTTCAACTTTTTTGAAACCAAAAGCTGAAAAACGCTTTTTTTATGGTAAGAAGCAAGCAGTGATTCGTTTCCTTCTCTTCAGACTTAGCCGCACCAAGTTCAGATTTTTCTTTCTGTTCGTTAGCATACAAACCAGCCGCAGCCATCATTTCTGTTCTTGGTGAATTAGCCGCAGTAGGAAGAATAGACATCAACATGTTTTTCTCTTTTCAAAAATCACAGTAGCCGCAACAACTAAGAAATCAAAGCAGCTGTTTTCTTCTATTCCTATAACTGCCGCAGCAGCAAGGAGCCTAATCTTCACTTTCTTTCTTCAATTTTATTCAAGTAAAATTACACTAAGCAATGATTGTAAGTTTCAGCAAATTTTTGTTGGGTGTGTTTCGGAAAATAAAGAAAATTAATTAAAATTAATTAATTAAATAAAATGACAAGAGAAAAACAAGAAAGGAGATGAAGCAGAATTAGTTAAAGCTCGTGCTACGCACGATTTCCTTAAAACGTATTTGTTGCCTCCCACGGTGCTAGGAGCGTTGCAACAATCGTTTCCCAGGATACGATGACTACGAACTAATGTTTGAGCACACAAACAAAAGTTCCAGCGAATGAGAACACAGTATGAACACAGAGGGAATTTTCATATTGCTAGCAGTGTGTTTTAGAGGTGCAAAACGTGCATGGAGTGTATGAATTCGTGTGTTGTTGCAAACTACCTGTCAGCCATTATATAGGAGGATTTGTTGTGTGTAAATGGTGAATTAATGGACCTGAACGTTGGACATCAATGACCAGTCCGTTGGGCATTGATTCGTCCATGAACTGTCCATTTAACGCTGCATTAAAAGATAAGAATGTTGGGCATTTGTTGTTATAACGGACAGAACAGAACACCCTGAGGTGTTCTGTCCGAGCTTCACAACAGAGGACCCCTAGGCCTTCTGTCCGCAACAGAAGACCTCAACGAGGCCATCAGAGTTCTGTAGCAAAAGACCCCAGGAGGCGATCAGAACACCATACCGAGGTGTTCTAGTCGAGGGTCTCTGTCCGGAGCCACCAGAACACCATACCGAGGTGTTCTGGTCGAGCCCTTCTGTCCGGAGCGTCTCTGCCGCTAGACACTTCTGTCACTGGGGAAAAATAAACGTTTCAGAAAGAAAACAAAAATTCTTCTCCGATTTCGGGATTTGATTTGCACCCCCCCTGCGCGCGTGGAGAGAGCCTTTACCCTTAGGAATCTTAACTCCTTAAGGGGGGAGTCCCTTTATAAAGGGTTGCAAATCCCTTGGGTTTTCCGGTGTGGGAAATTAACACACTAGAAACCCATCATTTTTCCCTTCTAACGGGTAAACTTCGAAAAACAATTTCTCATTCACCCGTTATCCGTTTTGAGCGTACCATATATCGAATTGTAGCTCTAAGCAAGGACAATCCGAAACCACTTTGACCCGACCCAAATCAGAAGTGGACCCCACTCAAAAATTGCCCCAAAATAGCCATTTAATGCAATTTTTCACACACTTTTCCAACAATTTTTACATTATTAGTTTTTGGATTTGGATTTATTTTTGAATTTGCTTGTCTCCAACTACTTAATTCAGATTTTTCCATTAATTACTACAATTCAGTTTCTACTTCTAGCTCTCTATCATGTTTTATCATGCTTAGTAATAATACTGTGATGTTAATTTTAAGTATGAGTAGTTAATTCCATCTAGGGGTTGAATTGGGGCTAGGGTTCATGGGTTCTTGAGGGTGTGAGTTTAGTTTTTGAAATTCAATTAATTTTCTGGAACATTGTATGAGACTAGTCATAATTGCCTATATGAATTTGATCACCTCATATATGAATTTTTGGATTTAATTCAATTCTTGTCTATGAGAAATTGATTTAAATTAGCTCAGGTCTTATACAAGCAATCTGATTTTAGAAATAAGTTAGGATTGTGGAAATTTGATTTAATTCTTGTCTATGAGAATTTATTTCATTTTCTTTCCAGGAACAATTGAAAATCAATTTTACTTAATTCTAATCCCGAAAGAACACCCAGAACCCGAACCATCCAATTTGAACCCTGTTTTAAAACCTAGAATCAATTTAATTATTTTTTTATTATATTTATTTTTGCATTCGCTGTTAGTTAGTTTTATTTAAACCACCCCAAAAAAATCGGAAAAACTACCATGACTTGTGCTAACCTGTGATCACGGATTGTATTTAAAACTTCCTTTATGTCACTCCTTGAGAGACGACACTCGTGGTCTGGTTATTCTTCGGATTAGCCAACTACGTTTTACTCACTAAAAAAAATACACCGATCAGTATGCTTTCCAAACTGCAGTAGTGCAGTATCTCTCATCAATCGGCTCCCTACACCCACTATTCAAAATGACTCCCCTTATCACCATCTGTTTCAAATTCTCCCTAATTACACTAAACTACAACCATTTGGATAGCTACTATCCATGGCTTCGCCCATATTCTCCAACCAAGCTACATGCCCGATCTACACCTTGTGTGTTTGTTGGGTATTCTACCTCTCATTCTCTCAATCCACCTACTTCTGTTTATCCCTAGAACAAAATCGTCTATTTGTGTCTAGGCAGGTCAAATTTGTTTCCCATATTTTCCCTTTCCGTACCACTCCATCTCCAATTTCTTCTTCCAGTGCTACACCTACATCTATGTCTCGGTCCCATTTGCCTCAACTCCAACTCCATCCTTTCTCTGACCCACCAACTATCTCCTCCAACCACACGCCCAATGACACAAACACCCACCATGCTAACTCCACCCATACCTCCTTATCTACCCATCACACATTCCAAGCCTCATCTTCTGCCACTCACACCACAACTACGCCAGATGTCAACACCCCCCCAATCACTCGTCCAGTACGTACTAGAATTCCTAACCCCAAATACATTGGTGGTCCATTTATTAATTCTACATCTAATCACCCTCTTCCCAGTAGCCTCGAACCCACTAATATTACCCAAGCCTTGCGTGAACCTTGTTGGAAATAGTCATGGACCCGGTTCGGGCCGCCCGGTCCGGGATCGGCCCGGCCCGCTACTGTGCGGGCCCAGAACCAGCCCGGTTCTCGGGTCCGGGTCCAGTTCGGGCACCGAACCGGTGGGGGTGACGGGTCCGGGCTCGGGGCTATGTTTTGGCGACCCGGCCCGGCCGGGTCGGGCCCGGGTCCGGGCCTAACGGTCACATTTTTTTTAAAAAAAAATTCTTTTCTTTTTAAAACATCCTTTTGGGCTGTTGACCCACTTCCCAAACGGCTATATAGCCGTTGGGTGGGTACCAGGGGGGCCGGGGCTTTTGGGGGTGGGGGGGTGGGGGGTGAGGGGGGGTGGGGTAAAAAAACCCTATAAATACTCCTAATTTTAAACATTTTTTCACACCTCTTCTCCAATTCTTCCTAAATCCTACATTCCTACTCTCTACTCATCTCCATATTCATCTTCTCAAATTCTCTTATTCTCCATTATATTTTATTTTACTATTTAATACTTATACAATTATTATATCTACTTATATATTAATTATCTACTTATAAATACATATACTATATTACTTATATTTCTTTGGGGTTTTTATTTAAATATTACTAATTTTGAACCAATTATCTAAAAAGTGACCACTTTTAAAAAGAGACAAAAGAGTGATCAAGAAGGTCATATACACTTTTAAAAGATAGTGTCTGTCAGATTTGTATGTCACTATTAAATTTTATGTCATTGTAGC